TATGGGAAGGGGAAACAAAGGAGGAGGCTACAATGCTTGATAAGAAATGTACTCATTATCTTGCCCATGTAATTGTAACTCCTCTATACAGTATTTTCACAATTAAAAAAAACAAACAAAACAACAACAACAAAAAAAGCCTGAAGTGGAGCTGTGACTCAAGTGGTAGAACACTAGCCTTGAGCAAAGGGACAGTGCCCAGGCCCCAAGTTCAAGTCCCAGTACCAACACACACACACACACACACACACACACACACACACACACACACATTGTTTTAAGAATGTAACTATTAGGCTGGGCTCCAGTGGCTCACGCCTGTAATCCTAGCTACTCCAGAGGCTGAGATCTAAGGATCATAGTTCAAAGCCAGCCTGGGCAGGAAAGTTTGGGAGACTCTTATCTCCAATTAACCATGAGAAAACAGGAAATGGAGCTCTGGCTCAAAGTGGTAGAGTGCTAGCCTTGAGCATACAAGTTCAGGGACAACACCCAGGCTTTGAGTTCATCCTCATGACTGACAAAAAACAACAAGAACAAAAAGTAACTATTGGAAAGCTACAGAAATAACTAATTCTTTTGAATTTCTATGTGTCGGCATGCCATTTCAGGACCCTACTACTCTTACAACTCTATTCGTTTTCTATCCCTAGCTTTTCTGTATTCCAGCAAGCACTCACATTTCTCTGCCTCCATGTTTATTTACTTCTGTCTCACCAGGGCTTATGGTCTCTTTTTTAAAATGCCTCTTTCCCTTTAAAGCTGTGGCCTCCTATGCCTTCATTGGTTGGTTTTCACTTTCTGGTAGACTTGCTCCCTCCCATCCTCCTCCTCTGCCCTCTGCCCTAGTGTGTGTAGGCTTAACTTCATCCAGGTGTAGTTCAGAGTCCTAGTCCTATAGTAACACTCCAACCACCACCATAGCCTGTCATCTCTTCCTCCCTCCATAGACTGTCATCTCCTCTTCCTCCTTCCAAAGCCCTGCACATGTTACTAATACAAACTCATCTTCAATAAGTCCTTCCTTAAATTGTAAGTTCTTTGAGAGCAGAAAAGTCCTCTAATTGTTTTAAGACTTCCAGACTGGTGGTATGGTATGTGTTAGAAGTATAAGGCTCTGAGTTCAATCCCCAGTACTGCCAAAAACAAAAATAAAAAAAAAACCCACCATTATGTACAAATGCCCGTGTACTTTCAGTAGCCACATATTTCTATTAAAATCAATAAAAGTGCCACCAGATCACAAATCATTTTTAAGTATGTTCCAAGACTTGTTCGTTAATGATTCTCTTCTGACAGGTCCCAAAACAACTAAACCCATGTCGCTTTATATTTGCTTCTGTGCTAGCATCCCGCCACAGTGAATATGGTAACTCAGGATACAAGCGCCTAATAGCGTGTGCCAGGTGAGTCCTTTTCCACAAAGTGAAATGGAGATCTCAAGGTCTTACTCTGTTGTTGTTGCTAGAGACATGTTTCATATATATAGCCTAGATTGGCCTTGAAGTCACCATCCAGACTTCAGTATCCCTAATGCTGGAATTATAGGAGTATGCTATTGTGCCTGTCTATGGTCTTATTTGGGTCATTTCAATAGGTGCAGAATACATTAAAAATTGTTATTTTTATATGCAGATATAAGAGGTATTCTGTGTATGTGTGTGTGTGTGTGTGTGTGTGTGTGTGTGCGTGTGCTACTCCTGGGACTTGAACTAATGGCCTAGACACTGTCTCTGAACTTACTTCTTCAAGGCTAACACTACCATTTGAACCACAGCTCTGCTTCTGGATTTTCTTGGTGCTTAAATTGTAGATAAAATTCTCACAGACTTTCCTGCCTAGGCTGGCCTCAAACCATGATCCTCAGCTTTCAGCCTCCTGAGTAGCTAGGATTACAGGCATGAGCTGCCAGCACCCAGCACGAGGTATTATTATGTACCCATTTATTATTTAAAAATATTTTACTTTGCTCATATGTATGAATATGTACATATTTCTCTCCTATATCTTATCTTCTGATTCCCTATTCAAACAGTATAATAAGCTCAGTCTTTTACAAGGGTGGTTATGGGATATAATTATTAGCAAAACAAAATGTGAAAGATCTCTCACAGTGGTTCTTCTTCTTTAAAAAAAAAATCACGTTCAGCAAACTCTCTGGCTGTCACCAGCCACTAGTTCTCACCCTGTCTGCACATGGAAATCAGAGCTTTCAAAAATGTCCAAAGCTCAGACACCATTCATGCGAACGCATCTGCTGACTGAACACAGAGACCTAAGGTGGCCAAATATTAGTTCTCTATTGCTGCTAGGTACATTTTACAATATGTGGGGGAGTTACAAACCCTAAAATCAAGGACTTCTTCTGGAGTCTAGAAAAGAATCCATTTCCTTGTCTTTTCCTCATTCTGGAGGCTACCAGCTGCCCATGTTCCTTGGCTTATAGCCTCTTCCTCTGTCTTCAGTGCCAACTCTGCACTGTTCTCATCTTTGATTCTGACTCCTGCTTCCATTATCACAGTCTTCTCTGACTCCCCTCTCCTCCTCCTCTCATGTAAAGACCTTTCTTGAGTCCTTAGCATCCACCCAGATAATCCATAGTCATCTCTCTGTCTCAGTCCCTCCTTTAACCACAGCTGCCACGTTCCTTTTGCCATATAAACTAACAGATTCTCGGACTCATGGAATTAAAACATGGACATCCTTGAAGACCATTCATTTGCTAGCCATAGCCACTACCTGCTTTGAAAAAGCTTTATGCATTGGGGTTTAGGGATGACACAGAGTGTACCATTAATGACAGAGCCAGGACTAGAAAACAGCCTTCTTCTCTTTCTTCCTTCCATTACCCCTCAATCCTTTCTACTGTGTTCTGTTCTCCTGGACTCTTTATATTATCAATAGTAGTGGTATCTATGGATAGGATGTTCCTGTTTCTATTTATAATTTTATATGATGCCAAAGTGTTCAGTAAGAAGAATCTGGAAATTCCCCGGGCTTATCTAATCGATTAGAGTGGAAGACTTTGGTGATGACATAGAAATCTAGAAGTCCCTTTATTTCAGAAATAAGCTAAGATCAAACAAGACAGAGTAACCTACCAAGTTCCCACGGAGTTAGAGACAGATCCAGGCCTCAAACCCTGACCCCTTGATTCCTAACCCAATATTTAAACTACTTCCTTCAATTTGGAGAATCTGAGGCTATTGATCCCAAGAAACAGTGAATTGTCCTGCCTTTCAAATCCCAGCTCTTCCCTAGCAATCTTTTTGTCCTGTGCTCAATGCCCTCTCTTCTCAGGATTTCTTCCCTACCTACCTTACTTCCTGCCTTGGCAACATTCCTTCCTCCCAGCATTCTCCACATCCTCCCTAGGCTAGTTCCTGCTCTCTGTTTCCTTTCCAACATCTTTCCCCATTTTCTCACTTTTCCATGGAGATCACCTTTCCTCAGGCATCATTATCATTACCACCCTTGGAACCTATTAGCTGGGGTGGGAAGAGAGGATGATCACAGTTGTGTTTGAAGCCATATGGTGGTCACATGAAAGGTACGAGCAACTTCTAAGAATCCATGCATGGGACCCAACAGAGTGGTACCTAGAGTTGGCCTGAAGAAGGGCTCTCTTGTAATAGATTGATACTATGTAAGTAGCCTCTGTCAGTGAGCACTTAACAGGATCATCTGAAAGTTAGCTTACTTCTCCAGATGTTTTCTACAGGGCGTAGATATTGGACTAACTTATCTCTATGACTCTTACCAGTTCTAATTGTCCACAACTCTGCTACAGATAAAAAGGCTCATCAAAACTCATTTGTGTGAAAATGGAATCAGATAACTTGAGGTGTTGGGTAAGATTGGGACTGTTGGTAGAGAACAGTGGAAGGGGTGACACTAATCAAGATGTATTGTACTCATAAATTGGAATGTTAAATTGAAACCCCTTTGTACAACTACTGAAAGATATTTTTTAAAAAAACATTCATTTGGCTTATTGTCAGGAACCCTAATTCTAGATTTTGTACTGTGCAAAAGAAAACAAGAAGCTGGGCACTGGTAATTCATGCCTATAAGCCTAGCTACTCAGGAGGCTGAGTAAGCAGTTCAAAGCCAACCTAGGGTGGAAAGTCCATGAGACTTTTTTTTTTAGCTCTTCAGCTCAAGGCTAGTGCTCTACCACTTGAGCCACAGCACCACTTCCAGCTTTTTCTGCTTATATGGTGCTGAGGAATGGAACCCAGGGCCTCATGCATGCAAGGCAAGCACTCTACCACTGAGCCACCTTTCCAGCCCCCACGAGACTCTAATCTTCAGTTAACCATCAGAAAACTGGAAATGGCACTGTGGCTCAAAGTGGTAGAGTGCTAGCCTTGAGCAAAATTGCTCAGGGACAGTGTCCAAGCCCCAAGTTCAAGCCCCATGACCAACCAAAAAAGGAAAGGGGGGGGGAGGAGGGAAGGAAGGAAGGAAAGAAAGAAAGAAAATGCAATATTGAATATTCTATCCTTTGGTTTTTACAAATTGGGGACAGAATATTAAAAAAAAGTTAGTGGAATATGCTTTTGGCTCTGTGACACTGAAGTTAGGTTGGGTAAATTCCAAAAGTAACTTGCAGTCCTCATTCCTGAAAGAAATTCTTTGCCTTCAAATATTCTTTCCTGATTTAAAAAAAAAAATGCCAGCACAGTATCTGGGTTCAGAGGGTCTCTTTCATGTATTTAGCTTTCACAACCTCTCTGTTGTATTCCTAAGAAAGATAGGAGTGGGGGGAAGAAGGATTTCATTTCTCTACAACAAAATGCCTTTGGGGAAAATTGCTGGTTTTGGCAGCAGGCAAAAGGCTTCTTGAAAGGAGGATTTCTGTTCCGTGATTGAAATAGTCTCCATGGCAACGAGTCATCGAGGCTCCAATAACCTTTTCATAGGCCCTCTCCACCCGGGGGGCCCTTTCCATCCTGTCTTTGGAGTATTTGCATCTGCGAGCAAGAATTCTCTGCTTCTCCCCATCCAATTAGGGGGATGTTCACACGTCACAGCACAGTTCATAAAACCTTTTATGTTCTGCTCTAAACGGACCAGTTGGTGGAGAGTAGGGTTAGGATTGTTGAGCCAGAGATTTTTCTAACTTACATTGAGGTGGTAAATATTGTATCTAAAGTTTCAATAGGGACTGTTTCAGATTATAAGGTGAGATAAAATATTATAAGGTTGGGGGGTGGGGGCGGAGGGGGGGTATAGCTGAGGAGGTGGGAGGGAAGGGAAAAACAAAGGAGGAGGCAACAATGCTGGATAAGAAATGCACTCATTACCTTGCTCATGTAATTGTAACCCCTCTGGAGAGTATTTTCACAATAAAAAATAAGGCCCCGCCACCTCACTCATTCATATAGTGTTTTCTGTCTCACTAATACTCATTCTCTGGGGTGCCATCTATCCATTTCACCCTTATGAAATGGTCCTTCCAGTTTCTTACATTCATCCTGACTGTGCTCCCAGCTCCAACCTCAAATGCACAGCTGCCTCTCAAGCTCTTGAGGTGAATCTGGAATCCAGATCAACATAACTTACTCTCTGCCCCCGCCCCTGCCCCTGCTGCCCCTCCAGCCCCTCCCTCCTCTCCCTCCTCTCCCTCCTCTCCCTCCTCTCCATCCTCCGGCTCTGCTAATGATTCCATCAAGGCTCTGCTGCCCCAAACCAAAACCTTAGATTCCTCAGGATCATTCAAAACATGGGACATAGTTAATTTTTCAAATAAGAAAATGAGCTTAGAAAATAGAAATGATTTATGGAAAATTCTCAAAAGCCAGCCTGTTTCCTGCTATCTCCTTTCTCACCAAAATAAAACAAAAACAAAATTCCCATTTTACCCGCTTCAACTTTTTTCTTACTTATAGCCTTTGGATTATTATTTTTTTTAAATAAAATGTCTATCGTGGAAAATTTAGAAACCAGAGAAAAGCAGGGGAGAAAAGACATGGGATCGAGTAGAATCTTAGCATCATCATATAGTTCCCCGAACATTCTAGTGTATTTTTCTTCCTGTCTGTTCCTGAGTGTGTTTGTGGAATATCTTTTCAATGTACAAAACATGTTTTAATGCTGAATATAGGCCATAAAGTAACTAGAGTAAAAATGAAATCTTGATTCATATGTAACTCTGAATGACCTAACTGTATAACCCTGAACTGATTCTCTTCTCTTTGCTTGGAATGGACAACTTCTATGTTCCAGAATAATGTCCCTATGTCAAAATGAAATCCTTTATACAATAATTTTAAAAATTAATTTAAAACTGTAGCCAGGCACTGGTGGTTCATACCTGTAATCCTAGCTACTCAGGAGGCTGAGATCTGAAGATCACAGTTGGAAGCTAGCCTAGGCAGGAAAATCTGTGAGACTCTTATCACCAAATAACTACTAAAAACGCCAGAGGTAGGTCTGTGGCTCAAGTGCTAGAGCACTGGTCTTAAGAGAGAAAAAAAAAAAGCTCAGGGACAGCACCCAGGCCCTGAATTCAAACCCCAGGACCAGCACAAAATAAAAACAAAACCTTGGAATAATGAGCCACAAAGTTTATTGGGCAAGTCAAGGAAGACAGACTATGTGACTCAAAACTCTTACAACTCTAAAATGCAGAGGTTCTGAATCTATATATTATCCAGTAACAAAAAAAATGGAGATGCTAATTCATAAATGAAAGCTTGCTAAAAATTGGGATCTTCATTAAAGAGTCTTATCCATTTCTTTCATTCCCTAATCTCTTGGTTTTTTTAGCTACAAGCCCAGCAGGGAGGAGTCTTCATCTGGGTCTTCCCATGCTGTGATGGACATCTCTCTGCCCACTGGAATCAGCGCAAACCAAGAAGACTTAGAAGCAGTAAGTGTTTTCAATCTTGTTGTGAATGCTTTTGTGCATTCTTCTTTTGTGTGTGGGTTCTGGGGCTTGAACTCGGGGCCTGGGCTCTGTCCCTGACCTTTTCTTTTATTAAGACTAGTACTCTACCACTTGAGCCACAGCTCCACTTCCAGCTTTTTTGGTAGTTTAGTGGCTTTAAGAGTCTGACAGATTTTCCTGCCTGGGCTGAGTTCAAATCCACAGATCTCAGGCCCCCTGAGTAGCTAGGATTACAGACATGAGCCACTGGCTCTTTTCTGCATTCTTTCATAGACAAATTTACATCCTTTCATTTTCATACAATCTCCCAAAATAGTCTTTACTAAATAACCCTCTATCTATATTTTGATCTATATGTATAAATCAAAAACATATACTTGCGTGGTCCAAAATAATTCATTTGTGCTCAAGAGCTTAGATTTTGTTTTTTGTTTTTTTTTCGGGGGGGTCTGGTTGTGGGGCCTGAACTCTGAGCCTGGGCGCTGTCCCTCAGCTCTTCAGCTCAAGGCTAGCGCTCTACCACTTGAGCCACAGTGCCACTTCCGGCTTTTTTCTTTTTGCTTATGTGGTGCTGAGGAATCGAACCCAGGACCTCAGGCATGCAAGGCAAGTGCTCTACCACTGAGCCACCTTCCCAGCCCCTAGATTTTGTTTTTCTTCATCTTGAGTAGTACATCACACAACTGTGGTTTCATACCCATCCACAGGGGAATGTAATTAAACATAAAGATAATGAAACTGGATCCAAACATTTCTCTCTCTCTCTAGCTTGTGGAAGGAGTGGATCAACTATTAACTGATTACCAAATCAAAGACGGGCACATCATCCTGCAGCTGAACTCCGTAAGCTCCCCCTCCTCACCGTTTCTCCTCCCATCAACTCTCCAAAACCATCTTCTTTAATTTTCTTAAATGCCTGAATTTGTCCAACAGATTCCTTCCAGCGATTTCCTTTGTGTCCGATTCCGGATATTTGAACTTTTCCAAGTTGGGTTTCTGAGCCCAGCCACTTTCACAGTATATGAATATCACAGACCAGGTAATCAACTCTACCTCACCTTTAAGATCTTCAAATGATTACTTAAGTAGTCTTCACACAACCTTTAGAAATCCACTTGACCTATAAATGTTACATATTGTCTTAAAACCCACTTCATAAAAGTCCTAACTTAAACTTTCCAGCCATGGCCTTACAAGTTTTTAAAATATTGAATACAACTATTTCATGACATTAAGCAAATAATTTCATGTCTCGCTTTTCAGTTCCTTCATTTAAAAAATAACAGGACTGTATGGACCTCCACTTCAGTTTCCTTTGCCTCACACTTTTCTGTAGTGTTTGCTGTCGATATTTATTGTGTCTCTGATGAAAAATTACTTAAACTAAAAACATTCACCTTTCCTCCCCAACAGATGTATGCTAGAACTGTCCTGGCTGAATCATCTCCCCTTTCCTCCCCCCAAACACACCCAGTGGCTATAAAAGAGAGAACCTGTGAACTGAGGGCCATACCGTTTGGTGACCAGATGCTATAAAAACCCCCTTTCCTGCTGAGTGCTGGTGGCTTACACTTGTAATCCTAGTTACTCAGGAGGCTGAGATCTGAGGATCTCAGTTCAAAGCCAACCTGGGCAGGAAAGTCCGTGAGACTCTTATCTCCAATAAAACACTAGAAATCTGGGAGTGGTGTGAATCAAAAGTAGTAGAGCACTAGCCTTAAGCTGAAGAGGTCAGGGACAGAGCCCAGGCCCAGAGTTCATGCCCCATAACCAACCAAAAAAAAAAAAAAACCCTTTCCTGAAACTGAAGATAAAATTCCATCTCTGCACAAAGAGAGCACCTTCCTCTGTTCCCATCCTCCCCATCCACCCCTCTTTGTCAGTCATGAGACTTGAATTTCGGGCTTGAGCACTGTCCCTGAACATTTTCGCTAAAGGTGAGCACTCTACCACTTTGAACCATTGTGCCACTTCCAATTTTCTGGTGGTTAGTTGGAAGTAAGAGTCTCACAGATTTCCTGCCTGGGCTGGCTTTGAATCACAATCCTCAGATCTCAGCCTCCTGAGATCTGGATTACACATGGGGGCATGAGCCACCAGTGTCTGGCCCACCCCTCACTTTGAGAAGGTGACTTAACCTTGAATTCTCTCATCCTCCCAGGACAACTTTCATAGTATCTTTATCATACTTCTCACATAGATCTATTGCAGTGGTTTCTGCATGACACTGAAATTGCTCATCAACACCAAAGTGTTTTCATCCACTCATGCTTAGGTGCCTAACATAGTGTTAGATACATGCTATGTTTACAGTAAATGTGTGTTGACAGAATGATCTCACATTTGACTAATCGGCCACTGCTGAAATGTTAAATGATTGGAGAGTTGATTGGCTTACAAGACAGGTGACTCTGCCTTGGGTAGTTCTGTTTGTTAGAGTTCATGATATTGTTATCTTCTGAGCCATTATAAACCATATGTAGACACTCTTCTCATTGATATACACATTGTACATGCATACTTAAACACATTATATATGTTCTTGTCCGGCCTAAATACTTTTAATAGGCTTGTTTCAATAGGTTCACATGTAACACGATTTATTTTCTTCTTATTCATGGGAGCACCAAATACTTTCTAAGATATGAGTTTTGAACAGTAAGATATCAAGCACAGCACTGAGCTAACAAGAGGAGATTGTCTGGAGGACAGGGAGGCCCATCCAGTACTGCCAATTCATAATATAACCTGGACTTTAGCCATACATAGAAGGGTCTGGAATAGACAGTCTCTGAGGCCCTTTGTAAGAGACTCGACAAATGTGTTAGACATCAGTCAAGCCACTCCTTGTGACCATGCTTTTATTTCCACAGATAAACAGTGCACCATGTTCTATAGCACTTCTGATACCAAACTTCAGAAAGTCTGCGAAGGAGCCATGTGCAAATGTGTGGAAGGTGAGCTTCCCTTGACATGTTCAGGCTGCATACTTGTTTCAAACCGCACTCATAAAAGATCACCTTGGGGAACCTGCCCAGCCAGCTTTTGTTTCTCAGAAGTGAAATAATAATGTAATCCTGATTGATTGAGAAGAATCCTAAAGCTACTTCCTCTCTGGTCAACAGCCTGGGGGAATACAGTGGGGGGGGGGACAGAAAAATGTCATCCAGATGCTTAGGGGATGTCTTACTTTCACCTCGTCTTTTTAACATGCAACTGCAACCCAAGAGAACAGAGCCAGGGTTAGGCCCTCCTTCATTTCCCTTATCCTTCTAGGAAATGGAATTCTCTGTCAATTGTCTAGTTCCGTTCAGTCTCTTTTGGGCAAGGAAAAGACCTAGAATACACTGGTAACTGGGTTTTTTTCACCTGTTATTTTCCCTCCTACTTCCTAAGTGAGTCCTGATTATAAATCTCTTTTTTGCAGGTGGGGTTGATGGTAGGGGTTTACATTCAAAGCTCCCTCTTGCTAAACAGGCACTCTACCACGTGAGCCACACCTGTAGCCCCTTTGGCTTTTGTTATTGTTTTGAATAAGGTCTCATTCTTCCTCACCCCCAGGACCACAGTTCCCTTATAAATCCCAAGACACCTCCCCACACATGCACCAAAAAAAAGCCATCCTAAGACATAGTTCAAGGTCTGGGAAGGTGGCTCAGTGGTAGAACACTTGCCTTGCATGCCAGAGGCCCTGGGTTCGATTCCTCAGCACCACATAAGCAGAAAGAAAAAAGCCAGAAATGGCACTGTGGCTCAAGTGGTAGAGCGCTAGCCTTGAGCTGAAGAGCTGAGGGACGGTGCCCAGGCCCAGAGTTCAGGACCCACGACTGGACCCAAAAAAAAAAAAAAAAAAGACAGCTCAGGTCTCAGGTTCAAGACTTTTTTTTTTAGTTGACTGGTTGACTTTTTGGGGGGTTTGCTCTAATAATGCTTCACTTTATGGAAGAGGAGAAAATGGGCAGGTCTTAGGAATTTAGTACTTGTGAGATTATGTTGAATTGTCTCGGGGCTCATAAGAAATCATTTTTACTCCCCAGAAAAGAGGCCTTGCCTTTTCACATTAATATAACTTTTACCACTTTTCATACCATCCAGCTGACTGTGGGCAAAAGCAGAAAGAATTGGATTTGACAATCTCTGCAGATACCAGGAAAGAAACAGCGTGTAAGCCAGAGATTGCATATGGTGAGTTCAAAAGTTTAATGGAGTTCTTTTAAACATGAATTTTTAGGAATACATGATCATTTAGAAAGATCAGAAAACATTACATCGTGATTCAACATTTCATTTGTTCCCTTGAAGGAAAAATGCCACCAATTTTCAACATTAATGTGCAAATTATTTATTCCTCAGCAAAGAAATGTGATTTTCATTAAAAATAATGGAAGTGACATGCATAGCCAGCCAAGAGACTTTACCCTAATAGATCCTTTTGCATTACAGGCAGTAAAACATATTCAAAGGGAACTTTTGAGAAGCCACAGAGGTATTACATTTCAGGGTTTTGTTTTTTTTTAATTCATCCAGTTGACAAGAGCAGAGAGTGCTTTGGAAAGGTTGATTTAGAAAATATCTTTTGAAAACAAAGACAGAACTAAATAATTTTTAAGTGTTGAGCTGCAGTCCACACTTGAGGTCTCTCTACTTTGAAAGGAGCATTTTAGACTGAGTGGCTCAAATCGTAGAATGCCTGTTTAGCAAGCACAAAGCCCTGAGTTCAAATCCCAGTATCCTCAAAAGGATGCTGGTTGTCCAGAGCTCAGAGCTAAAACATCTCAGAACTAAATGTCCACAAGTATATTTGTATAGAATTTAACACTATTGTTTCCTTTGATTTCCCATTTTTTTATTTTTATTTCTGAAGCTTTCTTTTGAGGAGTGGGGGACATCTGATTGTATACTAGCTCAAATCATTTTTTTAATTGGAAAGGCATCATTTCTAAGCTAAAATAAAAATAAGTACAATTGGATTGGTACTTTGCATTTACCAGTGGTTTTCATATGTGTGTTCTCATATATGAAGGGTTTTATAAGAACCCTTGTGTGTTACCAGTATTTTGCCAGGGAAGAAATTGAAGCTTGAGGACATTAAGTAATTTGAGGAAGGCCATTCAGGAAGCAGTAGGACAGAATGTACCTTGCACTCCACTAGATCATTTCCGTCACAGTCAGCTGAATCCTTTTCATGCAAATATGGCCATAAGAATAAATTTTGTAATGGTTTCCAGTATTTCTTTCCTTTGAAATACTTGATTTAAAAACAATGTCAAGAAACTGCCCGACTTAGCCAAGACCTACTCAGTTTATAACATGCATCAGAACTTAAAAGAGAATACTTTAAGAGAATACTTTTCAGCAAACAAAAAATAATGCAGTTATTTCTTCCCTCCATTTTAGAAGTACATTAACTCTTACATATCAAAAATTTATTCTATGTTCAACAAGAAATGTACTGATCATCTTACTGCTATAATTGTAACCTCTCTGTACAGCATCTTTATAAGAAAATACAATTTTAAAAAATGAGAACAGGCTTTTCAATCACGGGAAAAAATTATTCTAATACAGAGAATACAAGTAACACAAATTTATTGTATTACCTTAAAAAAGCAGAGGGTGGGCAGGCACTTTTGGCTCACTCCTATAATCCTGGCTACTCAGGAGGCTGAGATCTGAGGATCACAGTTCAACCCAGGCAGGAAAGTCCATGAGACTCTTTTTTTTTTCTTTTTTTTTTTTTTTCGGGGGGGGGGGCCAACCGTGGGCCTGAACTTTGGGCCTAGGCACTGTCCCTCAGCTCTTCAGCTCAAGGCTAACACTCTACCACTTGAGCCACAGCGCCACTTCCGGCTTTTTTCTTTTTGCTTATGTGGTGCTGAGGAATTGAACCCAGGGCCTCTGGCATGCAAGGCAAGCGCTCTACCACTGAGCCACCTTCCCAGCCCCTCCATGAGACTCTTATCTCCAATAAACTACACAGAAAAGGCTGAAAGTGGAGTTGTAGCTCAAATGGTAGAGCGCTAGCTTTGAGCAAAAGAAGATCAGAGACAGTGCTCAAGTCCTGAGTTCAAGCCCCAGGACCAGTTTTTAAAAAAAAACAAAAAACTTTTCTTCCGGAGAAAATAGGTTATTACTAGAATAACATAAAAAATAAAATAATTTCCCCCGTCTCTCTGTCTTTCTCTCTCTATCCCTCTTTCTCTCTCTCCCACCCCGTCCTTACTCTACCATTTGAGCCAGCTTCATGGTGGTTTAATTGAAGATAAGAGTCTCATGGGCTTTTTCTGCAATCTCGACTAGGATTACAGGTGTGAGCCACTGGCGGCTGGCTATAATTCTCTCTCTTGACCTTCTACTATTATTATACTATTGCCTGTATTCACCACGAAGACTTGTCAATCAGAAATTGAGGATATTTTCATACATGTTGTAACTAATTTCCATAATAGTCAATCCTGCCACAGTGAGTTCCCCTATCTGTGTATCAAACAATGTAGATATTTATCTATATGAGGGACAGATTGAGATCAGAAGGATCTCCAAAATAGACAAACCTTTTAGGTTGTCTACTCCATCAGAAGCAAAAATGAAAGAGGTCTTTTCTGAGGTCAGAAGAAGGGTCATCCCCTTCAAGCTGATCACTGCAGAGCTGAGGTCAAACACATAATAATTCCTAAAGCTGTGAAAACAGCAGTTGAAAGGGGGGGCTCTTGTCAGAGAATTGCCAATCCAAGCAAAGATGGGTAAGGAAATAGAATCCTACCAAAACCTAAATATCAAAACCAGTAGAGCTGGGCAAGGAAGCAAGGCCAGGAAACAGTGCAGCTCCCACAGCAATGCTGACGGACAGGGAGGCCCCTCCACCGCCAGGGAAGGAAGTGTCTGCCAACATGATTCTGCTTCTCTGAAACCACTCCCCTCTGAACTGTACACCTGATTGAAGTTTATTCTGTTTGTTTGTGTGCTTATGTTATTTAACGTAGGTCTTCATCCTTATCAGCCAGCTCTAACACAGTGGCCAGGACCAATGATTCTGATAGTGAACTTGGGAAAGTTCCCTAGAAGAAATAAGATCCACTTCAGGGTGTCTACAATAGTTTGTCAAGCTTCCTTTCTTCTCTGACAAAACGTGGCTTTTTATTAGGCAAGACATCAATGGTACTCAGCCTAAACTGATTTGATTTGGGTCTTTGTTTTTTTACCAGCTTATAAAGTTAGCATCAAGTCTATGACAGAAGAAAATGTTTTTGTCAAGTATACAGCAACACTTTTGGATATCTACAAAACAGGTGAGAATTCCTTCAGCCCTCCGTTCCCCCCTCTCTTCCTTTTCCTCCCCCTCTCTCTCTCCCTCCCTCCCTTTCAACAAATATGTACTACTTACTGTGTTCCAAACATTATACTAGATACAGAAGATAGAACTTACATAACATTCCTGCCTTCCAAAAGTTTATGTTCTACTTGGAGAGATACATTTTTAAAGGTATTCACATAAATATTCCTCATTCACCCTTTTTATTTCAAATCTCTACTGTTCAGATCTCTATTGTTCCTTCCAGGACTTTGAGACTGACAAAAGCCATAAGCTATCTTCAGTCTTCAACATTTCATTTTAAGCTACTTAAAGCACTTTTTTGTGTGTGCAGGTCTTGGGGCTTGACTCAAGTCTTATATCCCTGAGCTATTGTTTACCCAAAGCTAGCGCTCTACAACTTGAAACATCTCTACTTTCAGCTTTTTGCTGGTTAATTGGATATGACAGTCTGTTGGATTTGTCTGCCTGGGCTGGCTTGGAACTGGGATTCTCAGAGCTCAGTCTTCTGAGTAGCAAGGTTTACAGATATGAGGCACTTTTTAAATGAAAGTGCTGCTGTATATATAATTATGAATAAATTTTATTTTATTAGTTTATTTTTATCTTCTCACTTCAGTGGATATAAATTCTATAATAAGTAAGGCAAAAAACTCTAAATTTCAATTACATGCTGGCATTGTTTTTGTCCTCTTTTTGAAATTCTGTCAAGTATTTCAAGACTGATAATGCTTGATTATTTCTAACCCTAATCCTAGGGTTAAAAATACTTTCCAACTTTTTTTATGTATGTGCACTGTTACTGGGGCTTGAACTCAGGACCTAATTAGCTTTTTGTTGTTGTTATTGTTGGTAGCGGGGCTTGAACTCAGGACGTGGGCACTGTCCCTGATCAGTGGCTAGATCCACACAGCCATAATAAAGCTGTGGTTTAAGCCAGATAGTCTGGCTCCAAAGTCTAACCATGTGGATACTGCCATTTTCTAGTAGCCACTCTCAGCAATTATAAGAAACTTGACAGCCTGAGAAAGTTTATTGTTGCCACATTAAAACATAAATGTGTATTTCTCAGGGGAAGCTGCTGCTGAGAAAGACTCTGAAATCACCTTCATTAAAAAGATGGCCTGTGCTAACGCTGACCTGGTGAAAGGAAGGCAGTATTTAATTATGGGTAAAGAAGCTCTGCAGATAAAGCACAACTTCAGTTTCAAGTAAGTCACCAATATTTTAGAATTACTGATTTGATTTGCATGCTAAATCACAGAGTCATTTTCTGCCTACGCTATATAATTCTTACATGCCTTGAGGCTAACCATCAAACCATTATGAACATAAATAAAGCTAGGCACTGGTAGGTCATGCCTGTAATCCTAGCTACTCAAGAGACCTGAGAGTGCAGGTTCAATTCTAGCCCAGGCAGAAAAGACCATGAGACTCATCTCCAATTAACTACCAAAAAGTAGATAGGAGATTTGTGGCTCAAGTGGTAGAGCTGTCCCTTGAGCACAGAAGCTCAGGGACAGCACTCAAGCCCTGCATTCAGTCTCAGGACCAGTAAACCCTTCCACCCTAAAAAAGGAAAGTGTCTCAAATGGCAAAGTACCAGCTTTGAAAGAAAAACTTAAGAGATAAGGTTGAGACCCTAAGCTCAAGCCCCAGTACTGGTGAAGGATGAAAAGGAAGGGGAAGGAGGGATGGAGGGAGGGAGATAGAGAGAAGGAAAGAAGGAAGGAAGTGAAAAAGGGAAGGAAGGAAGGAAAAAAGGAAGGAAGGGAGGAAGGAAGGGAGGGATGGAAGGAGGGAGGGAGGGAGGGAAGGAAGGAAGGAGGATTCTGTGTGGCTGACAGTCTAACCCCTGGGGATCTACCCACACTTGGGCTTTTCAAAAAAAAAAGAAAGAAAGAAAGAAAGGTACAGGTTTTCTCCATCATGCCATCATCACAAACACTTGGTATCATTTGTTCTTGCAGGTATGTCTACCCTTTAGATTCCTCCACGTGGATTGAATATTGGCCTACAGACACAACATGTCCTTCATGCCAAGCATTTCTAGCTAATTTAGACGCATTTGCAGAAGACGTCTTCTTAAATGGCTGCGAAGCCTGAACCATGTGTAATTTTCACTTACAGATTCCTGTTGTTGAAGTTGCTCTTTTCTCCTTACTTTTTTGTAAACATTCACAATTGGTCTTACTTAGGAAGCTTCCTCTCCTTACAATTAGTGGCACTTGCTTTTATTAGAGAAGAGCTTGAAGAGCTGTCACTCTCTGGAATAACATGGCCTTGAAGAACAGATGCTCCAAGGATAGTGGACATCAGGAGCAATCCAATGCACCACATTCTAAAATTGACCACGTGCGAATGTCTGCTGGAACCAAAAGAAGAACCCCACAGACATGCAGTATCTTACGAAAACGTGGTCTTCGCCTGAAAGAAAGCACCAAGAAACAGAAGTGATCATTAAAATTTGACTTCTCTTTCAAAATGTACTAAAAAGCATGTTATTTTATAGTAGGTTGGTGACTACTATATAAATACAGGCACACAGAGTGATGGAGAGCCTTGACAGGGACAAAGCTGACATTCAGAGCGCGTCAGCCCGCTGAGAAGGTAGGAGAGGTTATCACACCCTCCCCTTCTACTGCTCTCTCCATCCCCTGACCAAAGAAACTGGGAGTCAGAAGACCTTTGTTACATCCCTATCCAACTCCTTCTTTGAGCTTTATTTTAAACCCCCCAGCCCAAGTCCCAGTGGCTCACACCTGTAATCCTAGCTACTCAGGAGGCTGAGATCTGAGGATCCTGATTTGAAGCCAGCCTGGGCAGGAAAATCTGTGAGACGCTTATCTCCAATAAACTACTCAGAAAAAGGTTGAGTGTGGCTGTGTCTCAAGTGTTAGAGTGCTAGCCTGAACAAAAGAAGCTTAGAGATAGTACTCAGGCCCAGAGTTCAAGCCCCAGGACAGTATGGGGGTGGGGGAGGCAGAAGTGGGGGGAGGAGATTGTCTCGTACAAGCAGGCAAATAGTTACATGACATTTCATAGCCCTTTTACCTCTTAAAAAACAGAATTCCCATTGGATGTGGCAAAAATCCCTCAAATTATAGGAATCATTATTATCCCCATTTATAGATGCAGAAATCGAGGTTCAGAAACACAAAGCAGTTTTTCCAACCCAATGACAGGCAGAACTAGATAGATGTCAATCTCTAGGGCTTTCCTAATCTGAGCAAGGCTATTGTGTTCCACATACTGACACATCATGTGGTTTGTGAGGTTTAATTTTCTAAGATCAAGGCAGCATGAAATTGCAGTGAGTGAAGCATCAGAGGACCCAAGTTCTAGTCTTGACTTTGCCCCTTGCTGGTGATTTGGAACAAGACCCTTCATCACTTTGCTAACCTGGAATGCAAACACTCTGATGACTTTCCTTTATATAGCTCTAAGATCATTTTCCATTTTTACAATGGGAAACAGAAACAAAGCCAAATGGCATGGAAACATCCAAATATCATGAGTTGCTGTCTCTTAAGTGTGAAAGACGCCCAGAGAAGGAAACAAGAGGAACTTCTGATTGAGGGGGAAAACACCCATGGATACCTGGGTATGGTGGTCATTTTTGTGACTTAGACAATGTCCTTTTTTTTTTTTTTATTCTTGCTCGGATATCATTACCAAGTAGTCTTTTGTCTCTGGTGTTGGTGTTGTATAACATCAAACATATTGACTGCCGCAGCCTAGCTCCTGAGGGCCAGGCCAGCTCCTATAAACAGTGAGATCTACTTCCAATATCAAGGTCTTTGCCCTTTCGCAGACCCTCCCTGTTTTTCCAGAAAAATTCACATTCATAAAACATGCATACTGCTTCAGGGGCCCCCATGAAAGGGCACACAGGGATCTCCTAATTGAAAGCCCCCATCCCCATCCCAAGAGCCAAATTTGTGGCTTCTTAGAGACACAAACAATTGCAAGTTTTCCTTTATTCCTGAAAAGAGATTGGTTCTGTGTGGTGAGAAAGAGGTGTTCCCCCCTATATCTCTGATTGAGAGATTAAAATATTCTTTTATATAGCTCTCATAGTGGAAGGAAGGGAAGAAGGGAGGTGGGAAGGGAAGGAGGAAATGAAGGAGGGGGAGGAAAGAAGGGAGGGAAAGAAGGAAACAAGGAAAACAGAGAGAGTGGAAGGAGAGAGGAGAGAGGAGAGGAGAGGAAAAAGGGGGAGAGAAAGGAGGGATTTGGTTTTAAGGCAAAATGAGAACTCCATTTCTAAGAACCTTCTGGATTCTTCTCAGCTGGCAGGGTCCCCACTCTTGCAGACATGTTGGCAGAGACAGATCTGTTCCTTGGAACACAATGTTCACTCCTTCACTGTTTCCATCATTACAATCAGATACAGGCATGTGACCTAGACAGTCATAAATTATATAGTCTTAAGATGTCCAAACCAGAAAGGTTCATCTCCTCCAAACCTCCATTTCCACCTGGGGAAACAGGACTAAAGTAGTTCTCACCTGTGGTTATGGTTGTGCTGGCTGGAAGGCTTGGGACACAAGCCTAAGGCCCAGTGTTCTTTCCAGCATGCCTGTTAGCAGAAGTTACAGGGAAATCAGTTTTGGTATCCTGCAAAGAAGCATGTTCTTGTAGTCAGAACCATTCTGGGGTTTTCTAGGGGAGACTAAGAGCCCCTATCCTGGGGAAAGTCAATAAGAGGTCAGGTGCCACCTTCCAGAAATGCTGCAGGGCAATTTAAGTTGGTGGGGGCGGGGGCCTGGTCCCAAGAATGATTCAATGTCCTTTTCAGGAAAACATCGGTTTTCCTTCTTAAAGCCTCAGGTTTTCACATCTGAAAAATGGACAAGCTAGTAATTGCTAAGTCATAGGATTTATTTAAGAGTTCAATGAGATAGTATATGGAATGAATATAAAATGATTAGAACAATGCCTGGCACAATGAAAAGCACTTGAAGGCTGACTCATAATGCCTCCCTGGACACACTATAGGTGACAACTTCAGTCATTGTTTTCCCTGTGAACATTTACTGAGAAGCATAAACTGATGGCTTTAAATATCCCCTGGAAGACATCTAAGCAACCCTTCCTCGCTCCACAAATGAGGGAACAGGCCCAGGGGAAGGAAGGACTTAGTAAAGGCACCATAGCAGTGTCGGGCCAAAAGTACCCCCCCTCTTCCTCTCCCCCTGCCCTTCCCTCTCCTCTTTCCTCCTTTCCCCTTCCCTCCCTTCCCCTCCTTTTCCCTCTTCTAGTAGCATCCTAGGGTCTTCTCCTACTAACTGAACCTAACGGGAAACCACACCTGATCAGAGATCCGAGCCTGAGAGTGGATGAGGTCCAAGCTAACATTTCCAACAGACAAGATGAAAGAAATCAGAATTGTCTGATGAAAAAAATAAAAATAAAAGCTGGGCACCGGTAGCTCACACCTGTATTCCTAGCTACTCAGGAGGCTGAGATCTGAGGATCGCAGGAGTTTTAGGTGTGTGTATATGTGAGGGGGGAGGAGTGAATGGAGATTGAAAACTGAAAGAGACCACAGGCTGTCTGTTGTGGCAAGAGCTGCCCAGCGTCTGACCTGGCCAGGTTCTGGCAGAGGACTCCATGAGGACTTGTATGGTGGTCCACTGAACACCTGTCCCCAGTCCAGGATCCTGGCCAAGCTGCCATGCCAGTGAAATTGCCTGCCTTTCTTCCTGATGCCTCAGTCTACTTCTTTTTTTTTGCTCTCCTTTAAAACCATTTGCTCTTTTACCTTTCTGTAATTTTCCTTTAGCTTTTGCCATTTGCTTTTGCACTGTTACAGTAATTCACCCTTTTCTCCTAATTGCTATGCATTATATATACAGTTCTTCCTTCTGATTTATTCACTCATAGCTGGCACTTTGTCTGTTCTTTGGGGGTGTTTTTCATTTTGCTTTTTCAATAATACTTCTATCAAACATTCTCCACCTTTTTTTTTTTTTTTGTCGGTCGTTAGGCCTGAACTCTGGGGCTGGGCACTGTCCCTCAGCTCTTCAGCTCAAGGCTAGACTCTACCATTTGAGCCACAGTGCTACTTCTGGCTTTTTCTGCTTATGTGGTGCTGAGGAATCGAACCCAGGGCCTCATGCATGCAAGGCAAGCACTCTACCACTGAGCCACCTTCTCAGCCGCTCCATCTTTTTTTTTGGTTGCTGCTTTTTCATCCTTTTTAATTAAAAATTTTGGTGTTAACAATTTCCTCTTTCTTTTTTAATTTTTAATTGATACATACAATTGTATGTATGTATGTATGTACTATGTGATGCTCAAATCTTGGTCATTAGATAGCTTGGGTATTATGAATAACGCTGCAAGAAACATAAGCATGTAGGTATCTCTCTTGGATGCTGACTTACATTCCTTAGCATGTGTGGATAGAATTTGCAGGGACATATGATGATTAAATGTTAAGCCTTTTGAGAAAGCTCCTTACTGATTTACATAGAGACTGCACTAATTTCCCCCAAGAGTGTATAAAGGTTCATATTTCTTTTATCCTTGCCAACATTTGTTGTTCATTGTCTTCATTATTGGAATTCTCAATAGAGTGACGAGTTGAATCTTAATGTAGTTTTGACAAACATTTCCTTTGGGATTAAAGATGGTGACCCTTAAACCAAAATCTTGGTCTTTAGCATGTCCATATCCACAAACATGTATGACTCCTCTTTGTTGGGAATCTCAGTGGTTCTCTAAGAAATATATAATAAGTCGTTGTCAGCTGTGCTGTAGAGCTCATTCTTTTCTAAGTATCTTGGTACATGTTAACCACAGTTCCTCCGTCCCACTGTCCACATCGCTTGTTAGACTCTAGCAGCCTCTCATGACTACCCTCCGACCTCTACTCCTATGAAACACACTTTGCCAGTTTCCATATGTGAATGAGACCTGAAGTTCCTGTCTTTGCACAAACACAACTGGCTCAGGGAGTGCCATTCCGGACACTGCTAGGAACTATGTTAAACAGGCCTCTCTTCCTATGGGTTTATGCACAGGGGCTCAGATCTCTAAGCAAAATATCTTCAATCTAAACATAGGCCTTATCAAGCATGGGGGCTCAGGCTTATAAACCTGATTACTTGGAGGGCAGAGATCAGGGGTTTGAGGCCAGCCTAAGTAATTAGATGGTCTCTAGACTCCATCTGAAACAATGGCTGGGTGCCACAATACACCTGTCATCCCCAGTGACACAAGAAAGCACGAGTAGAATGACTGGAGTCAAGGCAAGCCCAGGCATACGTGGACACCCTGCCTCAAAAATAAACAACACTAGCTGAGCGCCGGTGCTCACGCCTGTAATCCTGGCTACTCAGGAGACTGAGATCTGAGGATCACGGTTCAAAGTCAGCACAGGCAGGAAAGTCCGTGAGACTCTTATATTCAATTAATCACCAAAAAAGCAGGCCA